ATCGCGCACCGCACCCCGCCCGCCCAAGCAGCGCGGCCCAGATGGCACCCGCCGCCCCACCAAAGCACACCCGGACGCGCACCAGCAGCCTGGCTCCGCCTCTATCCTCGTCGACGTTGCTCCGCTCCTGCCCCTGCCCCCGCCCCCGCCCACCGCCTCGCCGCTTTTTTTGTCGCTCAAAAGCATCCCCCAGCGCAGCAGCCGAGGAAACGGCGGCAGGCAGCAAGACGCGCACGGCGCCAGCAGAGATCTGCAAGACGTGCACATACACATCCCAAAGCCCGCGCCTACGTCGCCGCCAGACGTATCTGCCGCCCACACATTACGGTATCGTCAAGCGCCTGCCAGCGATACCGACGTGCAGGATGAGCAAGGTGCGCGCGCGGTGACGGCGCATGTCCGAAGCCCCTGCCCCCGCCCCCGCCCGCGAGTATGTACGCCCCAAGCTCGCAGCAGCAATACCGGCGGGCAGCAAAAAACGCGCGCGGTGGCGGTGCGTATCTCCGCTCACGGCGGCGTTCGCACGGATGTGTGCTCACGCAGCCGCGCGCAAGCCGCACCTGTGACACAGCACCCGTGATACGGGCGAGCAGGTAGACAGCCGTACTGTAGTAGCTTTGGAATGTCACGCATGTATTTTTAGAGCCATTACTAAATGTGGATATTACCCCTTTGAGCTTCCATTGAGCTCATCGTCGTCGACGATGGCGGCGACCCTGAGGACGTCGCCGACTATTTATGGCAAGTGCGCTGTCATAGGCTGTCATTTCCGTTTGAAACCCTGGTCTGATGTATCAAATCAGGCCTCTAGCTAGAGGCGTTTATACATCATGAATCACTTCTAGCCAGAAGCCCATGATAGATCATAGCGCCATGCTCAGGTGAATCGTCGTCGTCGTCGAGCGCTATGGGTGCAGCTGTGCGGGCGGGTCAACGTCCATTGGTGTAGGGACAACACAAGCCTGTCTGTGATGGATGTGACAATGGCAGCTGGATGGATCGGTCGGGTGAAGGGGCGAGTAGAAAGGACAAGGGAGAGTGTCGAACGACAACAATTCAGATCACCATCATATTCCTTCCATATCGTGTCGGGATTCGATGCCACTTGATGCTCCATGCATGCTCCCATCCGTCCGCCACAAGTCGTACTCTTTACTTTTTCTCTACTGTCTGACACCACTTTCACTTTATCAATCTATATTTCTCGTCCCTCGTCCTGGCACCCCGGGGCCCGCACTGCATAATTAACTCTTCTACCTCCGAAGAATCAGATCCTTGCCACAGTGGCACTGCCAATGCGCAATCCGTCGTGATGATCATCAGGGGGATTTACCCAGGGCCGAGCTTTTTTTGGTTCTCAAACGGTGCCAAGCACATTTCTGAAGAGGCGCAGTATAAGCAGTCAGTATCTCGAATCTGAATCAACCCACTGACCAGAAAGAAAAAAGAAGAAGAAGAGAGACTCCGATATGCCATGGGGAGGATTCGAACCTCCGACTCCCACTGTCCACATCATAGTCATGCTGACAAGAGGGGTGGGTGATTTCCATTAATCAACCAGGGCTTTATACCCTTCCAAGGAACCTGGATATACCAGCACATCTTCCAACCCGTTCCACAGCATGAATTCCTTCAATCAAGCGTAACAGTCCTTGAAAATAACAGTAAATCGACGCGGATCTGTTACAAGCTACATAACTAGGGGCAAAGATAAAGTGCCGCAGCATGTGCCGCAGCCAGTGGCTGCGGCAACCTGCGGCAATTATGTTACATTGCCGCAGAAATAAAAAATAAAACTGAGTATATCGAAGGCCACAAAGATATTAGAGCTTCACATTCTTGACAGCATTGGTCGTTACATACTCTTGTACATGGCCCCCGCAATGCTCAGTGCCTTGGGGCCTTAATAGATGACTTGGCTGCGGCAACCTGCGGCAACCAAGCAAATGCAAAGTGAGAGGCTGCGGCACTCTGCGGCAATACATGCGGCAAACTCATAAATGGCTGCGGCAAACTCGCGCATGGCTGCGGCAGTCTGCGATTTTGCCGCAGCCATTCTGCGTCAGTCTGCGGCAACCAGGCGCGTGACACTACGGCATCAGGAAAACTCAAAATACTATGAAGTGCAGGTGGGGACTATGATAGCCTATGGTGGTCTATGATGGTCTATGGTGGCCTATATAGATACCACCAACGTCTATGAGTGTCTATGGGTGTCTATGATGAGCTTCCAAGACGTCCCGATATTTACATAGACTCACATAGTTACAATAATTTCACCTGTTAAAAAGAGAGCCCGGGTTAAATCTGGGTCGCACAATGAGGTCCCGGAGCAGACATACAAATCTTCACAACCTTCCCATTGAATTATCTACGGTGGATGCAACTGGAGCCGGTCCTCGCTGCCGTGTACTTGACGGTATCAGAGTCATGATGGATAAAGAAAGTTATCTATGGTCGTCGCGTCCCGTTGGCACACACAAAGCAAAAACAAGAGGCGCCCACGCCACCGTTCCGCTGCTGCTTGGGCCATTGAGAGCTGCTGAACTCAAGCTGAGCGGAAAATCTCTAAGTCCATTGCCGAGACAACTGTCATTGAGCGTGGGCATGCACAGCCGCGACAAACATGCCACAACTTTGATGCTGCCAGCGCACAACTCTTTCTTCCATTCCCCCACCATCTCCCCCAACATTTCGCCCCAATGCAACTATGGCCATGTTTCTTTCCCCCGCGTATCCAAATGTTGTCCCATCCTCAAGTCCGGCCTTTTGGTCCTCTTTTCTCCCCGACTTCACCCCGACATCGTATTACCAAGCGCCGCCTTCTTCCTCAACTCATACTTACGCTAATCTTGCGCTGTTCTATGGCATCAAGCTTCAAGTCTCAACCTCGTCAAGAAAGCTCCCACTCCCAACGCTCCGGTCTTTGTTGTTTCCTCCCGATGACTTCATCGCCTCAAGAATTCCCGCAACATCTACCATAGCGTCAAGCGCCCTTCAAAATCTATCTGTTACCTCAAGCCTCGCAAGAATCACTTTTCTCCTCAAACCTGTCTTCAAGATGTCGCAACATCCCGCAAATAGCGCAAGATCTTCTCCTTGCGCAAACTCGTCAAGCGCAGCCTCCGTTCCACTCCGCGTCTCGATACTATTTTTCCTTGGATCGCTTTAACGTCGTATTGGAGCTGGTGGGCGAGACAACAGTCTCGTTGTCCTTTGATGACCTTCAACTAGTGCATTGTTCATATGTACTTGGGACTTGAAATAATATTTTTATGCATAATTTCTTATCGTCTTTGTCAAATTATGGGGACTATGAGAACTATCTGCTCTATCATGTCTCTGCAGCTATGATAGACGAGGGTGCGCAGAGGTTGTCTATGGTGGTCTATGTGCAAATTCCCGACCCTCCCACGTTTCTATAAAGACAGCCGTTTGCTATGATGTCTATGACAACTATCTGAGTCTATCTGGGTCTATCTGGGTCTTCAGAGCAGATTCAGGTTTTCCTGATGGGCAGTGTGACATGTCTGCGGCAGGTCTGCGGCAGTACCCTGTATCCTGCGGCACTACGCAGCGCCAGTCCACATGCACATCGCAGTACTGACAGAACCACGTTCACGCAATAAAGCCCCTTCCTAATTTGATTCATCACTGCCAGGCAGTCAATGTCCCAAGTTCAATTTCTTTTTACTCACTGTTCAACTTTAACCGTGTTCAACGTCGTCGTCACTCGCTAGCGCACTATGTCAGCCAATGGCTCCCCAGCGTCGCTGCATGGCTGAAAACGCCAAAAATTATTAAAGACACTGAGTATCGTAAATACTTGTGATTTGAATCGGAACCCCGGTAACAGTGTGTTGTTCAGAGCGATGCTGTCTACAAACTCTCGTGTGGCCATTTCAAAAATTTTTACCCAATGATTGAATGACTACGAAAAAAGAATAGACCAAGCCTTGATCCCCACTTATTCCATGGCCCAAACTAGTTCTCGATCAATATAAGCAGCCTGTGGCATTGTACATTGTTGCGGCAATCTAAGGCGGATTTTTTTTCACGGTCCCTAGACCGATTAAATTCATTCATATATGTCCGGATTTGTTCACGGAATCCAAGCGAAGGTATTTGACCTTCTGGTCTACAACACGGTGTCAAATTCAATTGTGGGACTCACTGCGGCAATCGCTCGAAATGAGGCTGCGGCACTGACACAGCCACTCTGCGGCAGTCTTTTTTGGCGGTAACCGAATTTCATGGATCTTATTTCCAAATTCCGGCAATATCTCCCCGAGATATGTCGCCATTTCTCTGAGTGCGAAATTGGCCTAGAATTCAACCGTGAGAGTCGCCACGGTGGTAGTTCAAAAAAGTGGCTGCGGCAATAACACAGCCACCCTGCGGCAGTCTTGCCTCAACACTGACTTTGACTTAAAAAATAAGTTTTGAGATAACCATTTAGAATGATGGATTCAGGTTAATAATTGATGTTCGCCGAATGAAATTGCCCTCAGAATCAAATTTTCTCTGAGTTATGGTCAAATTGTTAAATTTTCAGCCCACAGGCCGTGTTAGGATACTAATGAGGAGTGAACTTCAAGAATGATCGTTGGATCCGTTGCTCAGCATACAGTACAGGACTTCGCGATTTGAAAAGGGTGTCGGCCGCTTTTCCGAGGTTCCAGCAAATATATTTGCGGCATTGAAATTCCTAACACTACCAACATCAGTGTCGAGTCGTAAATATTGTTGGTGACGTTGATTGTGATAGATTAGAGCCTTAGGTGAACTCAATACATTCGTCTGTAGTGTCCTGCGGCAGCCTGCGTGTATCTGCGGCAGTGTGACATACTTGCCGCAGAGGCTGCGGCAACCTGCGGCAGTGCTGCGGCAGCGTGCGGCAACATCGGCACTTTCACCGTGCCCCATAACTAGTGTCTCGAAGCTAAATCCAACTTGTAGAAAAAAAGTAAGAGAAAAAAATGTCGCGGACTTGTCCGGTATGTCCTCGGGAGGATTCGAACCTCCATCTCCCACCTCAATCCGTCCTAGCATCTTCATTTAAGGGGTGTGGGTGATTTACCATTAATCAACCAGGGCTTTATACCCCTCCAACGAACCAGAATATACGTATCTTGAAAGGAGCCTGCAGGTCCTGAATTTCCCTAGTTATAAAAAGTCGAGTCCGTCTGCTCAACAAGGTCTGTTGGAAGCACCGAAATTCAAGGATTGTCTAAGTGCATTATACAGACAGATTTATATGTGCCACAGCAGGATTGTGAGTCTGAAAAAATCGAAAAAGAATCTCGGCCTCCATATGTCCTGGGGAGGATTCGAACCTCCGTATCCCACGTCAATCTTCATCAGCGATCGCCCTCAAGGGTTATGGATGATTTCCATTAACCAACCAGGGCTTTATACCTTCAAATGGAGCTGGATATACCCGCACATTAATATTTCCAATTGCTTAGTAGAAGGTTGTTCCACCGAATAAACCCCAAACTACATCTCCGCATACACGTGTTTGACCCCACGAATTATCTCAGCGAGTGTAAATGCAGCAGCAGTGAAGACAATTCCGAATCTAAATCAATCCACCGGCAAAAAAAAAAAAAAACGAACACCAAGATATGTCAGTGCCCCGGGGAGGATTCGAACCTCTGTCTCCTACACTAATCACCTCCAACAAAATCTTCAAGGTGTGTGGGTAATTTCCATTAATCAACCAGGGCTTTATACCACTCCAACGAACCTGTACCTGTTTTTCAACTGCCAGAAGGCTGTTTCACTCCTGAAAAATACAATGGTACCGGTGCAAGCCTCTTCAGATGAGAGCAGTACTGGTATCTCGAACCTAAACTAAATAATGAAGAAGTATAAGGTTGTCCTTACGAGGACTGAGGATTGCCAAGGTCGTGCACGTAGAGTACGCTAAGCCGTGTACGAATACTCAGTTCGAATCGAACTAAATAAGCTTCTAAGGTTGAATTGTTAGACTCAGGATTATAATCAAGAACTTAGCTCTGTTCTCAGGGATTTTGGACTTGATAAAGCTTGCTTACTCGTCTCAATGTAAGTTGGGGGAAGGAAAGGTTCAATGCCTCGGTAATAGGCCGAGCGATGAATAAATACAAGGGTGGGACGGCTGCTCGCGTACTCATGCGACACCGGAGCCCTCGTGCAAGACGTGAAACAGATATCTAAATATAGTAAAGAGTCCGTGATAATTCCTTCCGCTAGACCATCTCTTCTGCAAACTATGCACCGGAAGTTGGGCAAAGACGTATAGGGAGACACGCTGCTCCGCTCAGCGTCGACGTTGGGTGCCCAGGCCAGGTCGAGGTCATCCCCAGCCCAATCCGAGTACACAGTCGCATCAGAAAGCGCCGTCACATCAGGAATGCTACTAAAATAGGGAGAAAGTCCGGGATATTAAATGATCGGAGAGGTATAAAACAGGTACCAAGAATGCAGAGTGCCCCTGCATGCGATGTGTTGTCAAATTATGTGGAGCCAATACCAAACCATCAACCAGGGCTTTATACCCTTCAGATGGACTTGGATACGACCTGCACATTTTCAAAGCCCGAAAAGAACCTTCAAATGTCAGTAAGGTTCGTTGAAAGCAACAACGAAATTCAACAAGATTGTAATCTGTCCCCAAGCGCATGATACAGACGTACAGCAGGTTCTTTGAATCTCAATCATTAAAAGAAAAAGAAAAAGAAATGAACAGTTACATGGAATGCCCTGAGGAGGACTCGAACCTCCGTCTCCCACGCCAATCTCCTCCAGCAACCATTTCATGGGCTGTGGGCGATTTCCATTAATCAACCGGGGCTTTATATCCCTTCAGACGAACCTGGATAGACCTGCACATCTTCATGGCGCTAAATCGCAGCAAGAAGCTAGTTGCCGACTCGGAGACCAAAAAAAGAACCCGAATAAAATTCTCACATGTAGAATTCAATGAGCTTCATAATCCCTTCGGTGTCCACCTGGTGTCCCAAATACATGCTGGCTCTTTAAATTCGAATTCCAAGCCTTTCAAAGGAAAACCATCTTTCAGCCACAAATGCCCTGGGGAGGATTCGAACCTCCGTCTCCCGCATCAATCCATCCTGCCTATGCTCAAGGGGTATGGGTGATTTACCATTAATCAACCAGGGCTTTACACCCTTCCAACGAACCTGGATACTGTACTTCAATAATCAATTCGACAAGGGGGGTGATGCGTGACCACAAATTCCAGTTCGACAGTTCGACAACCACAAAATTTGGTGTGACTGACCGGAAATTTTCGACAAATGAAGCCGAAAATTCGTCGAAACTGAGCTTTTTTGGGCGCGACCGCAGCCAATTTTGGTGTGACAAACCAATAATTTAATTTGACAGAGCCCTGGGTGACGCGTGACAAGCACCAAATTTCGGCCTCGACAAACCCCCATGTGACACGTGACTGTCGAATTGATTATTAAAGTACAGTAGACCTCTACATCCTTCAAGCTTCAAGACTGCAAGTCGGTAGAATCCTGATTTTCTAAAATAAGGTTGAGTCCGCTGCCCATAAGGTTCGTTGAAAGAACCGAGATCCAAGTTCTGTCCACATACAACAGTATCTCGAGCGAATCCGATTTATCAAGCTGTGAAAAAGAGGTATTTTGATCTCTCGTATGCCCTGGGGAGGATTTGAACCTCCGTCTCCCACATCAATCCTCTCAAGTCATTGAAGGGTTGTGGGTGATTTCTATTAATCAACCAGGGCTTTATATCTCTTCAGACGATCCCGGATATACCTGCACATTAATATTTTCCAAATGCTTAATAGACGGCTGTTCCACCGAATAAACCCAAACCACATCTCGATATACACGTGTTTGACCCACGAATTATCTCAGCGAGCGTAAATGCAGCAGGAGTGAAGACAATCCCGAATCTAAATCAATCCACCGGCAAAATGAAATAAAATTGCGAACACCCATATACACTAAGTGGACAAAATGATTGACCAATGCGTTTTCGGTCATTTCTTATCCAAATCACTCCAGATAAATTGTGAGAATGAAGTTCTGTTGATTTCATGACGATGTGCACAGTTTAAACCATACCTTTCCTGCTGTATTCTCCTTAGATAAAAAGTTTACCTGTTTTCTGAAAAATTGACTCTGTGGAATCATCTTGTATGGTAAAACGGTGTACACACCCTGAAAGTACTTGAAAAATGGACCTCACACATATTTTATTTGACCTGCATCTATGGGGTCTTGAGCTCACAGCAAAGCATGCAAGTTGTCCATTTTTGGCATTTTGTGGTCATTTTGCATAAAAAATGCTCAAAATGGCCAACTTGCATTGGGTATTGCAAGCCCCAAACCCCATGAATCTGGGTCAACCAAAAGGTGTATGAGGTCCATTTTGCAAGTACTTTCAGGGTGTGTAATCCGTTCTATCATACAAGGTGATTCCACAGACTCGATTTTTCAGAAAATGGGTAAACTTTTTATCTACGGAGAATACAGTGGAAAAGGTATGGTTTAAACTGTGCACATCATCATGAAATCGACAGAACTTCATTCTCACAATTTATTTGGAGTGATTTGGGTAAGAAATGACCGAAAACGCATCGGTCAATCATTTTGTCCACTTAGTGTATGCCATATGCCGGTGCCCCGGGGAGGATTCGAACCTCCATCTTACGCATCAATATTTATTTCTATCGGACCTTTCAAGGGGGTGTGGCTGATCAGATGTGCAGCATGTTCTTTGAATCTCAACCTTTTTAAAAAAAAAGAATTCCTTTAGTGCCACCCAATGCCCCAGGGATTCGAACCTCCGTCTCCCACATCAATCCGCTAGCGGAAAGCTGTTTTAAAGGTGTGGGTGACTTCCATTAATCAACCAGGGCTTTCTACCCTTCCAAGGAACAAGGATATACGTAGCTGAACACTCTTGACAGGAGCCTGCAGTCCTAAATTTCTCTAGTTATAAAAAGTCGAGTCCGTCTGCTGAACAAGGTTTGTTAAAGCACCGAAATTCAAGGATTGTCCAAATGCATTATACAGACAGATTTACATGTTCCACAGCAGGATTGTGAGTCCGAAAAAATCGAAAAAAGAATCTCGGAATCCATATGCCCTGAGGAGGATTCGAACCTCCATCTCCCGCGTCAATTCGCTTGTGCAAGGCATCTCAAGGGGTATAGGCGACTTCCATTAATCAACCAAGGCTTCATACTCTTCCAACGAACCTGTATACACCGGCATCTGTTTTTCAACTGCCAGAAGGCTGTTTCACTGCACGAGTTCGCGAAAATTCAACGGTGCCGATGGGCCGGCCTCTTCAGCTGAAAGCAGTACTGTATCTCGAACCTACATCAAACAGAAAAAGAAAAAAAGTTACATGTATCCTTTAATATGCCCTGGGGAAGATTCGAACCTCGTCCTAGCTTCTTCGCTTAAGGGGTGTGGGTGATTTCCATTAATAAACCAGGGGTTCATACCCCTTCAGAAGGGCAGGGGATGCAAAAACTAGGCGTGCCGTTTCCGGGATATTTATTGCAGCTTTACGGGCTTGGATTATAATGTGTACTCTCAGCGCAGACACGCCTGCAGCTCAGACGAAATGGCAGACCAAAGTTAGTAGGCGGGGCAGTTCCTGCTATCCCAGTTTCTGACCCCTTCTGCAGAAGGAGCCGCCGTACCCGCTGCTCTCGGACCGCAAACGGGTACCCTGGGTGCGGTCGGCGGCAAGACCAAGCGCAGCCATTTAATCCTTGAGAAGGGCGGCAAGCTTGTCCGGTCAAGGCTGCGGACAGGCGAGTACGTGTTTTTCTCGAGGTGTTGACGCGCTGACTATTTCTTCTGCTATATAGCCCCAAGATTGTGCTCGAGTTTAGCAAGAACCTTTAATTCTTGGTACCAAATTATGATATCCTCGCTTTCGTACTTGCGGCTGTTCCTTAATGGAACCGCGCCGGTAATACTACCTACCTATGTACCTGTCGACAGTTTTCAATTTATTCAAGATGCGACTGACCTGTTTGACAATAATGTTATATCGCAACTCCGCCAAGCATGGCGTTCTGCGTTTGCTTCGCCTTGACTGCAGCCTGAAACATGGTCACTCGCTAGTTCTAACTGATTTTTTTGTCGTAAGCACACCACGCTCCGTGGAAGACAGCGTTAACAAGTGCAACTCTACATCATCAACCAACTGGAAGCGTCTACATCAGAAGTTAGCCATTGCCACCTCTTCACTTACGATTTCGGCAGCTCGTCAAATCTGGTCCGATTCTTCAATCCAGAATCGTGAGGCTAGCAGGAATAAACATCAGGATCGAACACGGCGAGGGCGGGGGAGGAACATTTACCTGGTTCGATTTCTCCACGTCTCCGTTTATCGGTAAAGAGCTCGGCACGAGCCCAAAAATCTTTCCCGCCCTGCGCGCCCAGTGACCAGTCACACGGCCAAATGCAAAATTTCGGGCGAGCTGAAAATGTTACTGAAATGAGTAGTTTCAGAAACCAATTTAAGGAAGCCTTATTTGTACCTTAAATAGCTGTTTTCAAGATGGCCTAATCTGTAGCTGAATTTGCAACATTAAGCTACAATTTCAGGAAGCCTGAAGCTCTCAGTTTCAGGCACAATTTCTGTTGCAGTCTCATCAGAGCTTAAAGTAAAAAATTAAGGGTGTCCGAATTCAAGGCTGAAACTAACAATTTCAGCAGCAGCATAATGGTGGCTTAAACTAATGGATTAGGGCGCACTGAAATCAGGACTGAAAACATTAATTTCGGCCGGCATTCCGGCCCGCCCGACACAATAAGATTAAGGTGTAATTTCGGCCGCTCCCGAAACGTCACCTGAAACTAATAGTTTCAGTGCACCTGAAATTATTCTGCAGATGAGCGGTGGATCGTCTGCCGCTCATCTGCAGATCATCCATAGTGCTCATCGGTACCATATGAAACTGCTTCACAGTGGTAAAATTAGGTGACATTCACAAGATACATACGATTCTCGTGCCCAGCAGCTATTGCCGTAAAACTTTCTGGGGAAACCGTTGTGGATAGGCACGGGGGAGCTCAAGACCAGAAGGCTGAGGCTGCAGAACAACACATCTAAAGTCTTTTTGTTCTTATTGTCCAACCAACTCCGAGTAGAACGGAAAATGCAACATCAATGTCATCTAGTTTTGCCACTGTGAAGCAGTTTCGTATGGTACCGATGAGCGCTATGGATGATCTGCAGATGAGCGGCAGATGATCTACCGCTCATCTGCAGAAGAATTTCAGGTGCACTGAAATTATTAGTTTCAGGTGACGTTTCGGGAACGGCCGAAACTACGCCTTAATCTTATTGTTTCGGGCAGACCGGAATGCCGGCCGAAATTAATGTTTTCAGTCCTGATTTCAGTGCGCCCTAATCCATTAGTTTAAGCCACCATTATGCTGCTGCTGAAATTGTTAGTTTCAGCCTTGAATTCGGACACCCTTAATTTTTTACTTTAAGCTCTGATGAGACTGCAACAGAAATTGTGCCTGAAACTGAGAGCTTCAGGCTTCCTGAAATTGTAGCTTGATGTTATAAATTCAGCTACAGATTTGGGTGTCGTGAAAACAGTTATTCAAGGTACAAAATAAGGCTTCCTTAAATTGGTTTCTGAAACTACTCATTTCAGTAACATTTTCAGCTCGCCTGAAATTTTGCATTTGGCCGTGTGAGTCCTCTACGAAACGATTTACGTTGATTTCAGTGAACATCATCACGAAGCGCATGTCAATATTGATCGACTGGTGCGCCTGTTGTCTGTTCCAGTAAGGACGGATGTTGCTGACCAAAACATGAAGCCTGGGGCAGCTCGCGAGAAGGGCGAGAAAGAACGGCGGACGTTGGTCGCCATGCATGCTCAGGTGTGTGAGGGCGGGAAATTGAGCGAACTCGAAATCGAGGGGTTGTCCTTCGATTCCGGCAAACATGTCGAGATGGGTGAGCGTCCGGAACAGAGGGCGACTGGGATCGATTGCGTCAAGAGTGGAAATATTGATGAACGACAAGTGCTGCACTGCCAGCGGCATATCTTCGAGGGCAGTGAACATTAATGGATCTGCACCGTACAATCCGAGCCTTTCGACATGGCCACAAAGTGGAAGAACGGGTAAGAGATCGCT